ACGGACTGATTGAACTAACATTCCTTCATGGGATTCTGTTTTGAGTGAACGATAGCAGAGATGGAATGGTGTTAATGAGGAAATCGATTGGGTTGGGGGGGGAGGTTGTCGTTTCGTGGGTGAACAGCACAGTGCCTCTAACCTCGCCCGCTTCTTGCACCTCATTCTCTTGCTGGGAGCTCTTAGCCAAAATGCAAACAACAGTGCCGTTTGTACATACCTCAGTCATTCCCTTGCGAAAAGTTTTAGCTTTGTGCTGTCATTAATCACCTAATCATTAACTAGTTTTGACAGACCGGAAGTGTTTCGAGAGGGGGGGGGGTGTCGCAAGCGAATGCAGACAGAGAGACAGCGACTTCTTTGGTTGTTTGCCAAGCATGGAATGGTTTTGAAGTGGTCATGATAGTTTGGTTGTTTGTACAGGTTCAAAAAGTAGTAGGAATGAAGTCTATACAGCTGTGTGCGTCTTGGAAGGGCCCACCCGGGCAGTGCCATGTTGTGACACCAGTAAGCCACGTTATGCTCGCTTTAGCGCTAGCCCAAAGGCTGGGTAAAAGGATGACAGGCTCTGAAATTAATCGAGTCATGTTGAAAGATGTTACGCTGTGTCGGAGAGATGGTGCATAGAGGCGTAGATCGGCGACGGGGGGCATTTCGCACTTTCGCTGGTTCATTAGTTCCAGTTTGCAAGTATCACTCTGGTGATACCTGTGAACTCTTGTGAAGATGGAAGCTTGTCAAACCATCATGGTATAACCTGTCAACTCTTGCAAGCTTATGAAAGAGCTGTCTAGATGGGTCGACAAGTCCATCGCAAGTAGCAAAAGTGCAGAATGCCCCCCCCTTGTCGCCGATCAGTGCCCATACGAGCAGACGTGATTGGACATAACCTCGCTAGAGATTGACCCCTTCCGACACACATAGAGTGCTCAATACTGAAAGTTCTCAAACAGTTCACGTACTTGCCAATGCGTTAGATTATGCAGCATTTTCCAGGTTTC